CCATCACCATCATCGTCAACATCATCACCATCGTCATCATCGTTACCAGCATCACCACCGTCATGATCCGCATCGTCACCGTCATCATACGCGTCATCAATATCACTATCACAACCATCATCATCATCATTTTCACCATCACCATCATCACCATGACAATCACCACCATCAGCATCACCACCATGATTACCAACAAGACCATCATCATCGTCATCATTACCATCATCGTCAGCATCATCACCATCGTCATCATCGTTATCAGCATCACCGCTGTCATGATCCTCATCGTCACCATCAACATACTCGTCATCAATATCACTATCGCAACCATCATCATCATCAGCATCATCATCATCATCATCATCATCATCAGTATAACCATCACCATCATCACCATGACAATCACCACCGTCATCATCATCATCATCATCATCACCACCACCATCATCATCACCACCACCATCACCCACACGACCATCATCATCGTCATCATTACCATCACCATCACCATCACCATCATCATCAGCATCATCACCATCGTCATCATCGTTATCAGCATCATCATCAGCATCATTATAATCACCATCACCATCACTATGATCATCATCAGCATCATCATCATCATTGTCACCAGCGTCATCATGATCAGCAGCAGGACGATCATCATCGTCACCATCGTCATCATGGTCATCATCGTCGTCATCGACACCATCGCCCATCACCATCATCATCATCATCATCATCATCGTCATCATCATCATAATCATCAGCATCATTATGATCATCATCACTACCATCACCATCACCATCACTACCACAGCCACTATCATCATCAACATCAATCATCAGCAAATCATCATCAGCAACAGCATCATCATGATCAGCATCATCATCATCATCATCATCATTCTCACCATCATCATCATCACCATCATCACCATCACCATCCTCATCACCATACTCACCAACATCAACATGATCAGCATCGTCATCATCGTCATCATTACCATCATCCTCACAATCAGCATCATCAGCATCATGATCCTCATCGTCACCATCATCATACTCGTCATCAATATCACTATCACAACCATCATCATCATCAGCATCATCATCAGCATCATCATCATCCTCATCGTCACTGTCACCATCACCATCATCACCATGACAATCACCACCGTCATCATCATCATCACCACCACCATCATCATCACCAACACCATTACCAACACGACCATCATAATCGTCATCATTACCATCACCATCACCATCACCATCATCATCAGCATCATCACCATCGTCATCATCGTTATCAGCATCATCATCAGCATCATCATTACCATCACCATCACTATGATCATCATCAGCATCATCATCATCATTGTCACCAGCGTCATCATGATCAGAAGCAGCATGATCATCATCATCACCATCGTCAGCATGGTCATCATCATCGTCATCGACAACATCGCCCATCATCATCATCATCATCAGCAGCAGCATCATCATGATCATCATCATCACCATCACCATCACTACCACAACCACTATCACCATCAACATCAATCATCAGCAAAATCATCACCAGCAACAGCATTATCATGATCATCATCATCATCATCATCATCATCATCATCATCACCATCACCATCATCATCATCATCATCATCATCATCATCATCATCATCATCATCATCATCACCATTTCTATCATTCTCACCATCATCATCACCATCATCACCATCACCATCCTCATCACCACAATCACCAATATCAGCATGATCAGCATCGTCATCATCGTCATCATTACCATCATCCTCACAATCAGCATCATCAGCATCATCATCATCATCGTCACCATCATCATATTCGTCATCAATGTCACTATCACAACCATCATCATCATCATCATCATCATCATCATCATCATCATCATTATCACCATCACAATCATCACCATGACAATCACCACCGTCACCATCATCATCACCACCACCATCACCACCACTATCACCAACACGACCATCATCATCGTCATCATTACCATCACCATCACCATCACCATCATCATCAGCATCATCACCATCGTCATCATCGTTATCAGCATCATCATCATCATCAGCATCATGATTACCACCACCATCACTATGATCATCATCAGCATCATCATCAGCATCATCAGCATCAGCATCATCATCATTGTCACCAGCGTCATCATGATCAGCAGCAGCATGATCATCATCGTCACCATCGACACCATCGCAGCATGGTCACCATCACCGTCATCGACACCATCGCCCATCATCCCCCTCCCCCCCCCACACCCCGCAGGCGGCGGGGGCGCCCGCCGGGGCCGCCGGAGGAGCGAAGGCGGCCAGAGGAAACCCTGCCCAAGGTGCCTGCCCCCAGCTCTGTGCGCCGCTTTGGAGCCCCTGGGGCCCTCTGGGCGTCGTGCGAGGCTGCGACGCGGAAACGTATCCATATCCACCGCCTGGGAACGACGTCCTGGTGCCCCAGCCTGCGGTGGATGTGGATATATTTCGGGCCCAGGGGGCCCGAAAGATGTCCATATCCACCGCCTGCCGAGGCTCCGAAAACTGCTTCGGAGAGGTGCACTCTCGGCAGCAGCGCGCCCTGCGTCCGCCGCGGTGCGCGTGCGCGCGCCGCCGCGGCCTTCTTCGACTCCTCCTTCGACTTCGAGCACAAGGGAGCGGCGCGAGGGGGGCGGCGTTCTGAGAAGGCGGAGGGTCTTCTCTAAGCAGGCAGGGCTGTTTTTAAAAGGCCCCAGGATCTCCCGAGAAAGCTCGTTAGAAGCCGAGCGGGCTCCTGGGAAGCCGCCGTGTCCTTTCAGAAGCCCCGCCGCCTTCGTAGGAGCCCCCCTCCCTCGCGCCACCCCCTTATGGGCGCCACAAACTTGAGAGCACCCCACACGAGGCCCAGAGGGCCAGACTGAAGAGGACCCCTCACGCGACCCCCGCGCAGAGGACGCCCAGATGGCCTCCATGCAGGCCGTCTGGGCGTCCGTGGCAAATCCTTTGGGCTACCTTGGGCCAGGGCCACCCCTGACAGCACAAAAAGAAGACAGACCCACGTCCAGCTCTCGGAGGCCCGCACGGGTCGGCGCTTTACCCCCCCACACACCCCTGGCGGCGCCCCTGGCGCGATCCGCGTGCCGAGGAATGAGTGTGGGAACGGGGGTCCTTCGCCGACCCAGGTCCGCGCGGACCTACGACAGATTATCTCGAGATTGTTCCCATCCATCCTGTGGTGTTGGATCCTCGCTTTGGAACGACGCCCTCGCTTTGGAAAGACAATGCCCCGCGAATACTCCTCCTCCTCCCCCCCCTCCTCCCGCTCCTCCCTCCTCCCATCCCTGCCTCTGCCCTCCGCACCAGTCAACCATTTCGATCCACCTCTCACACGCTTCGTAGCTCCATGGGGAGCTCCACCCAAGGCCCAAATTGTGCCGCCCGCATGCGTCCCCGCCACTCATTTCAGCACACCCCTCACACGCTTCGTGGCCCCATAAGGAGCTCCGTTCAAGACCCAAAACGGTAATGTCCACATGCGTACCCGCCACCCATTTCGGCAGCACTCCTCACACGCTTCGTGGCCAAATAGGGAGCCCCACCCAAAGCTCAAATGGTGCCGCCTGCATGCGTCCGCACCACCCAGTTCAGCACACCGCTCACACGCTCCGTGGCCCCATAGGGAGCCCCACCCAAAGCTCAAATGGTGCCGTCCACATGCGCCCCCGCCACCCATTTCGGCATGCCCCTCGCAGGGTTCGTGGCCCCATAGGGAGCTCCACCCAATGCCTAAATGGTGCCGCCCGCATACGTCCCCGCCACCCATTTCAGCACACCCCTCAAACGTTCCGTGGCCCCATGGGGAACTCCATCCAAGACCCAAAACGGTAATGTCTGCATGCGTCCCCGCCAACCCTTTCGGCACACCCCTCGCACGCTTCGTGGCCCCACAAGGAGCTAAACCCACAACGGTAATGTCCGCATGCGTCCCGGCACTCATTTCGGCACACCCCGCACTCGCTTCGGGGCTCTATAAGGAGCCCCACCCAAAGGCCCCAATGGTGTCGTCCGCCGAATGCGCCCCCGCCACCCATGTTGGCACACTCCTCACACACTCAGCGGACCCTATTTATCCCCACCCAAAGCCCGACTGGAGCCGTCCGCATGTATCCCCGCCAACCATTTCGGCACGCCCCTCGCACGCTTCGTGGCCCCATAGGGAGCTCCATCCAAGACCCACATGGTGCCGTCCGCATGCGTCCCCGCCACTCATTTCGGCACACCCCGCACTCGCTTCGGGGCCCCATAGGGAGCTCCACCCAATGCCTCGATGGTGCCGTCCGCATGCGTCCCCGCCACCCATTTCGGCATGCCCCTCGCAGGGTTCGTGGCCCTACATACACCTCCACCCAAGGCGCCAATGGCGCGATTTGCATGCGTCCCCGCTGTCCATTTCGGCAAACCCCTCACACGTTTCGTGGCCCAACAAGGAGCTCCACCCAAGGCCACACGTGGTGCCGTCCGCATGCGTCCCCGCCAACCCTTTCGGTATACCCCTCGCACGTTTCGTGGCCCCACGAGGAGCATCACCGCAGGCTTAAGCTGCACCCTTCGCATGCGTCCCCGCCACCCTTTGCGGCACACCAGTTAAACGTTTAGTGCCCCCGTGGAAAGCTCATCTCCAGTGGCGACGTGCGCATGCGGTCCCCAGCCCATTTCGGCACAACCCTCACGCGGTTCATGGCACCACAGGGAACTCGTAACTGTAGGATCGTACCTAGGGGGGGCATGACCCCCCTCCTGGTGTTCGCGCGAATACTACGGCATTTGCAGCGCACTGCTGCCCCGACGTGCCCCACCCCACCAAAGCGTTATTGTTACCCAGGGCCCCTTCCCCCCCGCGGGTAACGACCGTTACCGGAGACCAAAAGAACACACTGCTGCTTCATCATATCGTAAGGAGAAGACCGCCTGGCCGCCAGCACACGTCCTCCACTCACCCTTGTGCCGAGGGTCTGGCACGCAGTGCTCCTCCGCGAGCAGCGTCCAGTCGTCATCCCGCTTGGCCTCCAGGAACTTGCCGGCGCACTGGTCGATGAAGAGGTCCTCGCCCCAGTTGCAGGGACCAGAGCACACCTCGAGGAAGTGCTCCTGAGCATCGTTTAACCTAGGCCGCCTAACTTCGCGCGGCGCGCCGCGCAGTGCGCGACGCGAGGGTTACCTTCGCGCCCTCGCAAGACATTGGTAAAGGGCAGCTCTCCCGCCCAGGCCGCGACGCGCCCCTGGGGACGAACTGCACAGCTCAGCCGATCCCTTGGTCCCCACTCGCGCGGTCTCGGCCCCACTGGCCGGCTGTTACCCACCCAGGTGGGGGACGATGCCTGTTCCGACAGGTCTCACGGGGCCCATCCCCACCCGGGAGGTTGGGCCAGTGGGGCTGAGGTACCATGGCTCAGAGGGGATGGGGACAGATCACAGCAGGATCTCGACCACGAGAAACCTTCCACAAGAAACCCAACCCTGAGACCCCAGGACGTACATCGATTTTGGGTGTGGGAACGTCACGCTTTCCATAGCAAAACCATCGAAACCCAAGAAAACCAGGGCACCCTGGAGGCAAGCAGGGTGTTTCTTGGCATGGGTTTCCACTGTAGACGATGCTGGGGTCCTGGCACTTCTGCATGCCCTCGGCCCACGTGTGCACAGCTCTCCTCGAGAACACCTCCAGAGGGCCGTGCATGCCGAACTTGCAGTTGTTCAGATAGACGCCCTGCTCCTGCTCCAGATGGTGCGGTAGCGCAGCTCGGAGGCGATCTGGGAAAAATACAGCATCCGCGTCCACCTTGACCGTCCACATCTGCTGCTCGAACCGCTTGTCCTTCAAGACGTGTTTCCAGACCTCCATGAAGATCTCAAGGTTGAGCGCCGTTCCGAACTCGCCTCCCACATCGCACTTGAGGTCGCTGTCAATTGCATGGGTCGTGACGCCGGGCGCGACCTCAAAGCTCTCGTTGCTGTAGATCGCCACGTCGTCGCACTTGAAGATGCTGATGCCCCTGTCACGCTGCATCGTCAGGAGGTCCAGCTCGTAGCCCGAGGGCATCACGAGCGAGAGGCAGAAGAGCGACTGGTAGGGCGCCATTGAATCCATGTCGCACGGCAGCCCCCCCGAGACTACGCCCTCCTTGTGCTTCCCGATCGGGTGCTCCCCCTGCTCGAGCGCCTTGAGGAAGCAGCTGTCGCCCTGCCACGACCAGACCATGCAGCCACCCTCCTCGAAGCAGCGCGTGCGGCACGCCTCCGCCGAGGGCACACCCGCCAGCGGCGGCAACAGGAGGCCCCGCCGCGTCCAATAGTCCACGTCCGCCTCGGCCTGGCCGCATAGCCCGTGGAAGCCGTGCACGCCGTGGTGCGCTGCAAATCCCAGGGGCGCCCCCACCTGAACAACAGAAAGCAACGTGTCTTGCCCGAGATGGCATAGCGACCTTACGCGGTGGCTTACGCCGTCCGCCAGCGCAGAACGCTACATTGGAAGCGAGGGCGCGCACGCGCGACATTACGCGGGAAGCTCACGCGCGAATGTCGGCTGGGTCGACCCCGCTTCCTTCCGTCGCTGACCTAAGGGGGAACGTGCGGGGTGGACAGGCTCAAAAGGGGGAGAAACTCCGTCCTGGAGTCGGCGATACGTCGCCGATGGCCTGGCGACAGGCCCCCGATGGCGAATCCACACCTTCCTGGGCGGGAGTGGGCTATGAAGCCTGCATCTGGGCTGAATGGGAGACTGGGGCTCGGTGCATCCCCCTGAGCCTACCCCCCCTAGAACTTGTTGTTTGATTGCCAATAACGGTGGTTACCCAGGAGGGAGGGGGGTGGGGCCCAGGTTAACGGTAACGCTTGGGCGGGGTGGGGCACGTCGGGGCGGGGGTGTGCTGCAATCGCCATAGTACGCGCGCCACCACAAGCCTGTGGGTGGGGTCCAAGCCCCAACCCCCTAAGTAGGTACGATCGTTACCGCTACCCAGATGGGTTGGGGGGGGGGTTGGCCTGGGTAACGACCGTTACGCGCCAGAGGGTTATACCAAAGAATCCGAACGTTGCTCACGAGCGGCGAACACATCCGTATCCGCGCCCTCGGGGTCTGGATTCTGGGGCGCGGTCCCGCGGGCACACGGCCGCAAGGATACGCTCGGCGCGGGGCATCCGCGAAAGGGCGTCCCGTCTCCGCAAGGTCGCGGCCCAGGGGATGGAACCCGCGAGGCCGCGCATGCGGACACATTGGAGGCCAATCCACAAGAACCCTTCCACAAGAAACCCAGCCCTGAGACCCTAGGCCGTCCGTTGACTCTTGGTGCGGGAACGCCACGCTTCCCGCAGCAAAACCATCGAGACCCAAGAAACCCAAGGCAGCCTGGTTCTTTGCATGAGCCTCCACTGTATGTGTGTGAAGAGGTCCCCCGCGAAATCCTCATGTTTGGCGGAGGCGAGGAGGGGCAGAGCCATCTCGTCGGGCTGTGCTGGGCCGTTTTGAGGGCCTTCCACGAGCGCAGGAGTGCGAAGGGGCCCTGGGACACACATATACCTATACGACCACCCTTCGGGTGATAAGGAGGTTCGGGGGGGGGAACCAACGTCTCACTCGAACGGTCTCACTATCGATCTCACTGTTGATCTCACTATCGGTCTCGCTCGATCGATCTCACTCGATCGATATGACAATCGATCTCACTCGATCTATTTCATTCGATCGATCTCACAATCGATCTGACTATCGACCTCACAATCGATCTCACTATCGATCTCACCATCAATCTCACAATCGATCTCACATTCGGTATCACTATCGATCTCACTATCGATATCACATTCGATCTCACAATCAACGTCATCATCACCATCATCAACAACCACATCATCGTCATCAACGTCATCAACATCATCAGCATCACCATCCTCATCATCATCAGCATCATCATCGGGACACCATCATCATCACCTCATCACCATCAGCATCATCATCATCACCATCATCATCGGGACACCATCATCGTCACCATCATCATCATTAACAAGATGATCATCATCATCATCATCGAGACACCATCATCATCACCATCATCGGAGCACCACCATCATCATCGTCACCATCTCATCATCATCATCATCATCATCATCATCATGAACAACATCAGCTTCATCATCATCATCGGGACACCATCATCATCCTCAACATCAGCACCATCATCACCATCAGCATCATCGGGACACCATCATCATCATCATCATCGGCACCATCATCATCATCACCACCACCATCATCATCATCATCATCAACATCATCTACATCATCATCAGCATCATCATCATCATCATCATCATCATCATCATCATCATCATCATCGGGACACCATCATCATCAACATCATCGCATCGTCATCACCATCATCGGACAAAGGTCATCACATTTATCATCATCACCTCATCATCATCCTCAGCATCAACATCATCATCATCATCATCGGGACACCATCATCGTCATCATCATCAACATCATCATCACCATCAGGACACCATCATCATCACCATCATCATCAACAGCATCATCATTAATATCATCACAATCGGGACACCATCAGCATCATCACCATCATCATCATCATCATCATCATCATCATCATCATCTCATCATCATCGAACCATCATCATCAACATCATCAGGATCATCAACATCATCATCATCATCATCACCATCATCATCATCATCATCATCATCATCATCATCATCATCATCATCGGGACACCATCATCATCACCACCATCACCATCATCATCATCGCCATCATCAACATCGTCAACATCATCATCATTGGGACACCATCATCATCACCACCATCACCATGACCATCATCATCATCATCATCATCGTCATCATCATCATCGTCATCATCATCATCATCATCATCATCATCATCATCATCATCATCATCATCATCATCATCATCATCATCATCATCATTTTCATCGGGACACCGACGGGACACCGGCGGGACACCGGCGGGACACCGCGGGCCACCGGCCCCTGGACAGGAATCATTTGGTCCGGCCGCGCCTCAGCCGGAGGCGGGACACCGGCGGGACACCGCGGGCCATCGACCCCTGGAGAGGAATCATTTGGTCCGGCCGCGCCTCAGCCGGAGGAGACTTTCTTCTCGCCCGCCCACGCAGCTTCGCCTCGACCGCACGCACGGCACGCACGAACATGAAACCGAAACCGATTTCCCGGTAGGGGGCTCTCCGTTTCACTTCGATCTCACCCCCTCACCTCCGATAAATAGATGAAAATGGACACGAACAACAGGTTTCCTCTCATTGTCCAAAAAAATAATTCCTGGCCTTCCGCCCAAGTCTACTTTAGGGTTTTCAGTTCCTTAAGCCACAGCCGTATTACAATTTGTTCTTTGCATTTGGGAGGTCCGTCGCCCCCGCGCTGCCCCTGAACACCCGCGCGCGCAGCCTCCCGAGGGCGGCGCCCCCCGCCGCCGGCGCGTCGTCCTCGGCCGCCGCCAGCGGCCCGGCGCCGCCCGGCGCCCGCGCGCAGAGGCAGGCCGCCCCGCCGAGCAGCGCCAGGGCCTCCCCCCGCGCCGCGCGTCGAGGAGGGCGGGGAGGAGGGATCGTGGAGGAGGCAGGGAGAGGAGGAGGTGGCAGGCTTACGGAGAGGAGGAACGACGGCAGAGCCAGGACGCTCGCCAACGACCAGGTCTGGCCTACTGGAGGCTGGCCGAGCCTGAGGTTGAACTACGAGCACGACGTCTCCGCTTCTTCCAGAGAATGGCGAGGTTTCATGGTGCACATCAGCAGGCCAGCGGCGGTCTTCGGACAGTCCAGGTTCGAGGAGCTGAATGGCATCAAGCGCATGGGCGATGATCGCTGGCCGATCTCGACCGCTACGCCACGGTGTCGGCAGTTCGCAGAGGACCTGAAAGAGATGAGCAAAGTCAGCGGGGACTGCCACGAGACGTGGGCGGACACTGTGGAGGCGCCTGGGGGCCTGCTGAGCCTGCCCTTCGAGGGCGACCTGCACGACAGGCTCGTGCTGCTGGACTCGAGGGCGCCGCGCACGGCGGCCTCTGCCGTGCAGATCCCACCGCCCGACTTCCGTGGGCCTGCCGACTCCGAGGCTGTGGGGTCGCACGGCCTGCTTGAGGCTCGGCCCACACAGCATGTGTGCAATGTCATTGCACACATACTGTGTGGGCGGAGCCTCCTTGTCATTGCACAAATACTGTGTGCAATGTCATTGCACACATGCAGGTGATGGACGGAGTGTGTGCAAAGTCCTTCTCGTCATTCGCAGCCCTCCAGACTCATCGTCGCGTCGTTCATGGGGCCCAACACGAACTCCGTCGGTTTGTCGTCACAAGTCAGCAAAACAGCATGTACCGAGGGTGGCAGGTGGATGGGTATCCAGGGGAGCACAGAGCAGGAGAAGGATGTGTGTGGTTGATCGCTCCCTGCGGCACCACGACCCGATCGAGCTCGACTCCTTGGAGTGCCCAGCTTGCTCCGCGTCCTTCACACATTTGATTGAGTTACAGGTACATGTTCGTACACACCATGATAGCCCGACGGGCCTGTCTCTGGCTGTCAGCGATGACGGCAGCAGCTGGCGACGGCGGCGCCGCCTACAGCAAGCAAATGGTCTTCCTCGCCAGCGGCAAGACGAAGGGCACGATCTCCACGGGGCGCCGCGCGAGGTCGCACACGATGGAGGCGGTGGGAGAAGCACACGCACGCGACCCTAAGACGCCGAAGATCGAGACCGAGGCGAAGAAGCAGGAGGAGACGCCGACCGACGGCAAGACCGAGGCCACGGATCCCAAGAAGGGCGCCAAACCGAAGAAGAAGGGGAAAGACAACGCTGGTGGAGCTGGGCGTGCACAAAGGCAGCTCCGCATCCGCGTCCGACGAGATGGTGATCAGGCTGCAGAAGGGGGTGCTGAACACGATGCAGGGTCAGCGAGGCTTGGAGGGCGCAGTGTACGACCCGCCTGATCCCAGTCATCAGCGAGACGGTGAAGGCACCGGAGGCCAGCGGCAAGGAATACAACGAGGCAGTGGAGGCGAAGACGCACACGCCGAAGGAGATCGGGAGCTCGCGTACAGATCGTGAAGGGGGCTATCAACAAGTTGGCGAAGGCGGACCTGGACAACTCGCAGCAGGTGCGGCTGGCGCAGTGCGTGCTCATGATGGCCAACGTGGCGCTGGAGAAGATACCGAGCCTCACCGACGAGCTCATCAAGAGCTTCAGGGTGAAGAGGGCGCGCTTCGACGAAGCCGAGGGGGACGTGGCCTGCAGCAAGCCGACCATGGCGATCAGCCAGATGGCGACCACTCCGTCGGAGGACGTGAGCTGGCTGAAGAAGTACGGAGTCGCAGCAGAAAACGAGGACCGCGAGTAGGGCGACGACATGGACGAGGGGGCTCGGTGCCTGGCGGACACGCCAGCAGTGCCGCTCGTGACGCACGACATGCGGACGGCGCTGCTGCGGCTCTTCGACCACGAAGGCGCGGTGGCCAGCGGCGGCCAGCCGCCGAGGGGCCGCCTGGAGAGGGACATTCGGAAGGATCCGAGCATGCTGCAGCGCAAGAAGTAGCAGGGACACGACTCGTGATGAAGAGAGTTGTCGTCGTCGGTCGTGCGTCGTCGTCGGCGTGGTCCTCGGCGGCCGACGACGACGACGACGACGACTCGAGAAGTGTGGCGTGCGACGCGCAGTGAGAGAGCAAAAGCAATTTTCGAGGCCATGAGGCAGAGGGTGGAACGGCTTGAGCCGCTCCAACGGAGAGTTCAGGCGCGTCCGCGACAGGCTCGGCCCCCCGCCTCGTTCTTGCCTGCAGGCATGCGAGCGGGAATGTGCATTCGGGCACTCCTCATCCTGTGCGCGGGCTCGACGGGAGGGGCAGGGGGCTTGAGCCTGAAGATGAGGTCAGCAGCGCTCGTGTCACGGGCACCCTGGCTGTATCGGACCCCGTCGCCGCACGAGCGGAGCAGGGCACCGCCAGGCCCGCGCGGCCGCGCCGCGACCTTGACACGTCTTCGACTGGCTTTCCATGGGACCGATGCGACTGTTCTGTTCGCCTCCGATGTGTGTTAAGTTTGTCTTAGGGGGAGGTAGGGGGAGGAGGAGGAGGACTTAGGGAGAGAAGGATGTAGGGAGGGCAGGAGGTAGGGAGGGCAGGAGGTAGGGAGAGGAGGAGGTAGGGAGAGGAGGAGGAGGAGGAGGAGGAGGAGGAGGAGGAGGAGGGCCAGGAGCGCGCCCCGCCGCCGCCGCGCCGAATACCACGCAGCGCCTGCGGGCACCACCTCGGCGCGGCCGCCGCGAGGACCGCCCAGGTCGGCGGGAGGCCGCACCTCCGCGCGGTGGCCGAGAAGGGGCGGGCGGCGAGGGCGACCGACCATCGAAGGCGGCGGCCCCGACACGGCCCAGGATGGCCGACGATCCCGGGAGGGACGGGCGGAAGCGTTGGGCGGGGGGGGGATTTGCGGAGGGAGGGCGCGGGACAGGAACATCCTGGACCATGCACGGGATCGCACACTCTGTAATGCTGCGGCGGGAGCGATAGAGGAGGACGGAAGGGCAGGAGGGAGGGGATGGAAAGGGGGACGGTGAGGAGGGAGAGAAGAGGGATCATCTTACGACGACGAGAGCCCGGAGATCCTCTGGAAGTATCGGGCGGCTAAACAAGAGCCGAGGACGTAAACGTAAAGCTCTCGATCCTCAAACCTCGAACCTCGATCCTCGAAATTCAAAGAGGGGAACCGTCCTGGTCATCCAGCACGCACCCGCACGACGCCGCGGCGAAGGGCGTCAAGGGCGCGTAGCCGATACACCGCGGAGACGCCAAGGTGGCGGCGAGAGTCTCGAACCGCCTCTCATCCTCCTCCACCTCGTCCTCCTCCTCCCCCACCTGCGCCTCCTCCTCCTCCTCCTCCTCCTCATCACCCATCACCACCACCACCACCACCACCATCATCATCATCATCATCATCATCATCATCATCATCATCATCATCATCATCATCATCATCATCATCATCATCAGCAGCAGCAGCAGCAGCAGCATCATCATCATCATCATCATCATCATCATCATCATCATCATCATCATCATCATGGCAATAGCCCCGCAACAGCATGTCAACGGCATGGGAATGGCATGGCAGCAGTATGGCAACGGCATGGCAACGGCGAGGCAGCAGCATGGCAACAGCATGGTAGCAGCACGGCAACAGCATGGCAACAGCATGGCAACAGCATGGAAACATAATGGCTACGACAATGCAGCAGCACGGCATCAGCATCGCATCCGCCCGGCAACAGCATGGCAACAGCATGGCAACACAATGGTAACGGCATGGTAGCAGCATGGCAACGGCATGGCAACAGCGAGGCAGCAGCATGGCAACAGCATGGTAGCAGCACGGCAACAGCATGGCAACAGCATGGAAACAGAATGGCTACGACAATGCAGCAGCACGGCGTCAGCATCGCATCCGCCCGGCAACAGCATGGCAACAGCATGGCAACACAATGGTAACGGCATGGCAGCAGCATGGCAACAGCATGGCAACAGCATTGCAGCGGCATGGTAAACTAATTGCAAAAGCATGCCTACATCACGGCAAGAGCATAGCATCGGCATGGCAGTAGCATGGCAACAGCATGACAACGGCATGGCAACTGCATGGCAGCAACATCGCAGTTGCATCGCATTTTCATTGCACTTGCATGGCACCAGCACTCCAAAAGCATAGCAAGTGCCATCTGATGCCGCGCTGCAGTGCTATGGCCTGGCAACATCATGGCAACTGCATGGGAATAGCATGGAAACTGTAAGGCACTTGCGTGGTAACTGCATGGCAATGACATGGCAACAGCGCGGCATCTGCATGGAATTTGTCCCGTAGCTGCCTACCTATAGCATGGCAACTGTATGGCATTTGCATGGCAACTGCGTAACAATAACATGGCAACCGCATGGCGTGTGCATGGCATTTGCATGGCAGATGCATGGTAAATGCATGGGAACTACCATGCCAATGCCATGCTACAGCGCTGCAATCCCACGGCAATGGCCACGGCAATCGTATGGCAACGGCTTTTCCGTCACATGCGCCGGCCACGGGCGCGGACAGAGGGCCTCAGGAACTTGCCCTAGAAGGCCCATGGCACCGCTCGCTCTAGGGAGCCCTGGCAGCAGCAACCATGGCAACAGCTGCCATTGCCAACTATGGAAATCGTTGCCACAGCAACTGTTGCATTAGTTGCCGCGGCAGTTGCCATGGCAACGCTTGCCGTGGCAACGTCCATGGAAATAGTTGCCATGGCAACATGTGCCATGGCACTTGCAACGGTTTGGTCTCCGACCACCTACCTGATCACCCCTGCTAGCGATCGCTAGAGATCGACGGGGCCGACGGGAGTGCTGGATGGGAAACGGCGAAACGACGGGCCCTTCCGTCCTCGCACTTTTCAAGACTTGAACCACCACAACAATGGTGGGCACGCGTACAATACACATCGCTGGCCCCCACAGACTACGGGCATTCATACAGCCAGACTGCCCTGGACACTCCCAGGGCACGGGGTGGGAAGACATCGCAAAACAGCATCCCCTGCTTCAATACCTCCAAAACTGGAAACCATATTCTGGGGGGGTTCGGCTTAGCGACCCCTCATAATCGCCTCGAAGTCCCCCCTCTTCTTTCCTCTACCGACAGACTCCACGGGCACCAGGCGGACACAAACCGGGCGGCCAGGAAGGGCAGGTCCAGGCCGAAAAGGCCATGGCGGGGGCGTCCCCTTCCTGCTCCCTCGTCTGATCTTCTCTCTCCTGAACGGCCACCTGCTCTTGTGGCTCGTCTTCCTCGGCCTGAACCCGGAGCTTCCCTCGAACGGGTCGACTCTGGTCAGACTCAACGGGTTCCTCGGTCAGCGCTCCGCGGGACGCAATCCAGCTTCGACATTTGAGAGCGGAATGCAGGGGACGTTCGTCCAGCGAGCCACTCATCAACCAGAGCCCCCTCCCCAATGAGATCGGCCAAGGCGCAAGCGCCTCTCAAAGGGTCGACTTCCGCAAAGCTGTCGGCGCGTATCTTGCAGTGGGGGGCCCATCGGATAACGGCGTTCTCGGCGCGCATCGAATCGCGAACGGTCGCCATCTCGATGCTGTTGCGACGATCCGCATTTCCTCTTCCACGGTTTTTCGACGGGACATCGAGGGGCGACTGCGCGTCGACGACTGCGACGCCCAGGACAGCCTCAGCGGGCTGACAATCTTCGGGAAGCGAAACAGCGAAAGGACAGGCAGCGGTAGTATT